AAAATCCTTTTACAGTACAAATTGAAGAACAAATTTGCAGTATCAGGAGGAACTCTGGGCTTTGCAAAATGATTTTTCTTTAAAATCCCAATCAAAGAAGGCGTAGATTTTTTAAAATTTTAGATAAATCAGTATATCCCATTTTAAGAAATTTTAGTTTGCGTATTTTTCTATGTTTGGATCTACATACTTATGTGAATGCTCATTTTCAAAATGAAAAATTTAAAAACAGATAAACGCTCTTCTGTAAATGATGAGACATTATCTTCACTAATGCGAACAACTTCATCTAGTATCGACGTAGACATTGCATCACTTGTTCAGTCTCATAGAAGACCGAGAAAATCTAATTACGAACATTCAAATGCCATGTAATGAGATTAAATCAAGAAGAATATCTTTATCATATTTAGTCTTTTACTTTCTTATTTTATAATTAAAAATTCTTCTTTCTATTTTTCTCTCTACAGTGGAATAGGCCTACTGAGGAAACCACTATAAAAAAAACGCGTCGGCAATAGTACCTCGCGGGTGACGTGGAAATCTATTGAAATATTTCTACGTTTAATTTAACAATTAAAAAAATTATGTTTAATACATTTTTTGAAATTTTAAAAATCATGGGAGAAAGATCGTATCATAATTGGATAGTACCGCTCCTGAGGCTTGGCCGCGCTCGTCCTAGCGGCTGCAGCGCGCGCGGCAAAGGGAGGAAAGGAGGCGTTGACATACGAGAATCGGCTGAAATGCTGAGATAATTCCGAGCACTGCTTTAGAGGTGTATTTATGCGCAATAATTTACCGATAAATGGCGCGCGAGAAAATGAGAGTGGTATCGTTAATCTAGACAGTACAGATGGTCCTGGCACTCATTGGGTGGCGTATGCAAAAGAGGAAATCGCGCAATCTATTTCGACAGTTTTGGCAATCTTCGACCACCCGAGGAATTGGTGCGATATTTAAATGTGCCGAAATTGGAATACAATTACACCTCTTATCAAACGTATGATCAGAGTATCTGCGGACAGTTGTGCTTGCAGTTTCTCCGAGAGGTTAAATTCTCGCCACGAATTTAAAGACTGACATTGCGTTATTTAACTCAGTTTTGTCAACATGTTGCTAACACTAACATTGACTGGGAAGAGTAGTGTCCTCGCGGCGACCTACTTTTCCCCCATAGATTTGAGCGATACGGACTACGAGCTCGGTCTGGCAGACTTTGAAACTTATCACACTATATCGAATGTATATTCCTCAAATAATAAATTTTACTACGGCAAAGACGACGCAGAAATTATGATTCCCGAGGGATCGTACGAGCTGCAAGCGATACATGAATTTTTGAAACGCGCACTTTTCCGAAAACATAATGCTGTTAGTAATAAAGGTGTCGACGATGAAGATTACCCAATCGTGCTCCGCGCTAATTATAATACGATGAAAAGCGAAATTAAATGTGCATACAGAATAAACTTTAGCATGCCCAACAACATTGGATCGCTGCTGGGATTCTCGAATCGTATACTGCAACCGCGAAAATGGTACGAATCGGACATGCTGATTAATATTATCAACGTGAACATTATCCGCATAGAGTGTAACGTGACCGCGAATGCATACAGCAACGGTAAACTCGTTCACACGGTACATGAATTTTCACCGAGAGTACCACCTGGATATAAGATATCAAAAACGCCGGCGCAGATCATTTACCTGCCGGTCTTCGTACGGAGCATTACTGATTTAGTGTTACGCGTTGTCGACCAGAAGGGACGATTGCTCGATTTTCGAGGCGAAGAGATAACAGTTAGATTGCACGTACGACGGCGGGCGACAGCAACACCTCGTGCGACGGGATGCTCGTGTTGAAAAAACACACGAAGAACACAATCAAGCTAGCAGCAACATCATTCGCTAATATCAAATCAACCACGAAGAAGAGACTCACCTCGTCAAACGTTGCGTTTTTACAATCTTTGGGATTTGCGGTGCGTGCCATCTGAACAATGACTGAGATTCTCAACATCGAGGAAGAGCCAGTCTTTGACGATCGCATCGTCAAGATTGAGATTCACACATACAACCCGTTTGCAAACACAACATTTGGACACAGCGATGAGATAAGAATACCCATACAACAACAGGATTTGTATACATTGCCGTACGAGAGTTTCTTATATATCGAGAGAGAACTAAAGATAAACCATCCAATTGAGGGATCCAATGTGACACTGGGAAATAATTGTGTCGCATTCATGTTTGACGAAATTCGCTATGAGCTCGATGGTGTGGAGATTGATCGCAACAGAAATGTAGGAATAACAAGTTTGCTAAAAAACTATGTAACGATATTATTTGATAGAAGCATGGTTATGAGTAACGCTGGCTGAAGTGATCCGATTTCTGCGAGTGGACACTTCAATTTCTGCGTACCGCTCTACATGTTGTTGGGATTTTGTGATGACTACAAACGAGTAGTGATTAATGCGCGTCATGAGTTGATCTTAATACGATCGCGCAACGACAATAATTGCCTGTATGGAGATTCTGCACTGGAGCCTGTGATCAACATATTCAAGATACAATGGCGAATGCCACACGTGTTGTTGAGCGAGATTAAGAAGCTGTCGATGCTGCGCGCTCTGGAAAGCGGACGTTACCTCAGCATGGGTTTCCGCTCGTGAAATTTATACGAATTTCCGCTATTGCAGCGTACGACCAAGCATTCGTGGGCCATTAAGAGCGCGACTCAACTGGAGAAGCCGCGATATGTAATTTTTGCAGATAGGGCGTAAAAATGTCATGTCCAAGGATATCAGTCGATTCGACGACTGTAAATTAACCAACGTGAAACTCTTTCTGAACTCGGAAAGTTATCCGTACGACGACATGAATCTGGATTTTGATAAAAACAGATGGTCAATTCTGTACGACACTTACACACGTTTCTACAAGAACTATTACGGATACGAATACCTCGAGCCCAATCTCACCATCACACGGTTTTTACAAAACGGTCCGTTTGTGATTATCGATTGTTCTCGACAAAACAAATCGATCAAGAGCGCAACGGTGGATGTGAGATTGGAATTTGAGTGTAAGGAAAACGTGCCTAATAATACCACTGCGTACTGCCTCATTATACACGATAGTGTGATCCAGTACAACCCGTTGACCAACGTTGTGCGCAAAATCACCTAAAAAATGTTTACACAAATACGCGTGTGAAAGAGGGGGAGGAGGATACATAATCAAGATGATGTGAGATGTCTGAAGAGTATCGTAATACCTCTCGACTGACTCACATCAAAGAGATCATGTCTGCACCAACGTTTGTCGATCTGCAAGGATTTATCCTGAATAAACGATTTATTGTAAAGGAAGCGGCAATCCTGAGAAGAGGATATATCCTGTCGCACTATTTCTTCGCATGCCCTGTGCCATGGAGCATGCTTATAAAGTCGGCAAGGCGTCAGGCCTCGTGGCTAACTCAACATCATCACAGCTTACAATGGGAGGATGGAAATGTTCCATACGGCATGGCTCAGCGCTTGATTACGGCAGCTATCGTTGGCATAAATGAGCAAGAAGATGATGAAGAGTCCTCTCTCGTGTATGTAAAAGGACTCGAAAAGCGAGAATGGCTGGCCGAAATAATGGACGATGCGAGCAGCGGTTTTACCATTGAGACCTTGGATGCCATATATGAAGATGTACCTGCATTAAATAAGTTAGATCCCACATATACTCTACGGTGTAATAAACATGTAAAAAATTGCGCGTTACAAAATGTATTTAAATTATTTAATTGGTGGTCGGCCGCAGAATCCAGGCTTGGATCCGACGATCATCCGTTTTTTGAATAAACATATTGTTTACATACTATTTTCTTTGTTATTTCTCTCCCTCACCAGATATATATTTCTAAGAATTTGTTTTACCCCTTCTCCTAATATTTTAAATATTTCTCTTTGTTCCCCTCCAGATATATATTTCTAAGAATTCCTTTTTTCTAATATTTAATTTTTTATCCCCACTACTTTTAAATATTTCTTTTTATTCCCCTCCAGATATATATTTCTAGGAATTCGATTTACCCCTTCTCCTAATATTTTAAAAATGAGTATTACTCGATTATTAATACTTTTATACGATCAGTCTTTCGTCGACTGTTCTGACTAGTGGTTCACTTTTTAATACTCTCGGTTCAAAGAAGCAGCATGAATTACTACATGCCGAGACGTGATGAAACGTGCGAGAAAAAATGCGACGAGTAAGTATAACTTTTTCTATTTTATATATTTTATATATTTTATGGGGTGTGTGGGGATACACCGTAGAGGTAGTACCCTTCTACCACAACGGTCGCATCAAGAATAGATGGATGTTGGTGTCTGGTCCTCACGGGGTACCCAACTCTCACTTATGGCTCCAAGCGCCACACCCTGATAAGCTGCATTAACTTGCAGACTAAACTAAGTGAGGGTAGTCAGATATGACGAGATTAGTAGCGTCTGACCCGTAACGGGCGGCTACGAACAGCGTCTGCTCTCCATGTTAGGAGCGGCTGAAAGGATACCGAAGAAGGCAACGGGAAACCACTTCGGTGTATTTAATTTTCCAGGATATCACTATGGCGAGGAAACTAATAAAAACAGCCCCTAGTCCCGGGCAGCCCTTAGATGGGCAAGGGGTGCGAAGAATCTCCCGGCTCAAAATAGTAAAGTCCAATCTGCGTATATTCACTTGGAACGTTAGAAGTCTTTTCGCTGCGGGGAAACTCAGCAATGCAATCAAAGAAATGAAAGGATGAAAATCAGGTTTATGGAATAAGTGAGCTAAGATGGCCAGAAGTAGGCACATGTGCCCACGAAGGTGGAACCCTTTACTTCTCGGGAAGTGCTGAAGACGACCGTCGACACAGCAATGGAGTTGGGATTCTGGTTGACTCAGAGTTTGTCAAATATGTGAAAGGATTCGTACCCATCTCGGACAGAGTCATGCTGCTCCAACTGCATGGGAAGCCATTTGATATTAATCTTATACAGATCTACGCTCCTACCTCCGAAAAAAGATACGATAACGATGTGGAAGTCTTGTATGACACTATCAGGGACACACTTCAGGGCCTACAAAGTGACAACGTCAACCTAGTCATGGGGGACTTTAATGCCAAAATAGGGCAGGGAAGAAGAACCGATATCGTTGGTGATCACGGCTTAGGGGAGAGTAACGAGAGAGGCGATAGGCTTTTCGAATTCTGTCAGGAGACAGAAATGGTAGTGACCAATACATGGTACAAATTACCAAAACGTCGCCTTTACACCTGGAAATCGCCTCTCGATGGAGGGAGTAATCCGGAGCCTGTGAGGAACCAGATTGATTATGTCCTGATAAATAAACGCTTCAGAAACATGGTAAGGAGTATCAAGGCGTACCCCGGAGCAGATATTGGATCGGACCATAACCCGTTGGTCACGGACCTGACGCTAAGGCTGAAGTGTGTCAGGAGTGGTACTGCCAGCAAAAGGATCGATGTCTCGAAACTGCGAAACATTGAAACGAGAGAAAGTGCTACATTTGACCTCAATAGAAAACTAAGCCGAATAAAGGAAGTAAACCCCACTGACGTAAATACGCAGTGGGGTGAAGTAAAGCGGGCTCTCCTTGAGACTAGCGAACAACATCTGAAACCATCAAGACATACAAAGAAGAAATCGTGGATAACGGATGGAATCATGGACCTAATGGAGAGGCGGCGGCTGCTAAAAAATAGACAGGAGGAATACAGGAGGGTTCAAACCCTGATCAAAAAGGAAATCAGAATAGCAAAGCAAAACTGGATGAAAGAGAAGTGCGAAGAACTAGAGTGGCTTATATCGAGGCATGACTCGTTTAATATTCACAGAAAGGTGAAGGAAGTGGCGGGTTTATATAAAGACGTGTACCCGTGTCTATATGCGATGAGCAGAACAAGGTCATCTTAGAGGAGCGCGAGATTAAACGTACTTGGCAAGAGTATGTGGCCGGGCTTTTTGAGGACGCCAGATCGGACATCCAAGCTGGAGCGGAGGAGCCGGAGGGCCCTGTCATACTCAAATCGGAGCTGCTGCATGCCATCACATCCGCCAGGAGTGGGAAAGCCGCGGGTCCAGATGAGATTCCAATGGAATTAATAAAATTGATAGACGAGGACAACATAGCGACGATACTAGGACTGTTCAATAGGATATACAATACCGGGGTAATACCAGAAGAATGGCTGATATCAACGTTTGTTACCATTCCAAAGAAGCAGAGGCCAAAAAGGTGCGCAGATTTCCGTCTGATCAGCCTCATGAGCCATATGTTGAAAACATTCCTCCGTATAATCCACGCTCGCATAAGGTCAAAGTGTGAATGGGACTTGGATGACTCGCAATTTGGGTTCAGAAGTGCCTTCGGCACACGTAAAGCGATTTTTGGGACAAATGTCCTCCTACAAAAATGCCGAGACCACCAGAGAGATGTCTTTGCATGTTTCATAGATTACGAGAAGGCGTTCGACCGGGTCCTGCATAACAAACTTATTGTGCTTCTCCGTCAGGATGGAGTGGATGAAAAGGATGTCCGGGTGATAAAAAACCTATACTGGCAGCAAAAAACTAAAATAAGGATTGGAAACTTGACAACCTCAAGGGTGGACATACAAAGAGGTGTTAGACAGGGGTGTATTCTTTCCTCCCTTTTGTTCAATCTCTACGCAGACAAGATCTTCAAGGAAACTATAGGTGACACAAAGCTCGGAATCAAGGTAAATGGAATATATATCAACACCATAAAATACGCAGACGACACGGTCATTATCGCCGATAGCATAGGGAATCTTCAACTGCTTCTAAATAGGATCTCAGAAGCTGGACAAAGAATGGGATTAAATATCAACACAAACAAGACGAAGTTGATGGTCTTCAGCTGCGATAGCCATGAGAACGTTCTACTGCACCTTGATGATGTAAGGATAGAGCGTGTCGCGTCGATCATGTACTTGGGATGCCTGATTACAGAGGACCTGGACTCGACCGGGAGGTTAGGCATAGGATAGAGATTGCTCGCGGCGTTTTTAATAAGATGAGGGCTCTCTTTTGCGAAGACAACCTTAATCTGAGGCTAAGACGGAGAATGGTCAAGTGTTATGTTTGGTCGGTATTGTTATACGGTGTGGAGGCGTGGACCCTCAAAACGAGTACGCTGAACCGTCTGGAAGCCTTTGAAATATGGGTCATGAGACGTATGCTGGGGATCTCCTGGGTTGACAGAGTCACAAATGCTGATGTTTGGAGGAGATCAGGTGCGCGACGAGAGCTGCTAGTAACGGTCAAATGCAGAAAAATCGAATATCTTGGTCATGTCTTGAGAGGGGAGAAATACCGCTTCCTCCAATTGATACTAAAAGGAAGGATTGAGGGCCGACGTGGGATCGGAAGGAAGAAACTCTTGTGGCTGAGAAATATTAGAGCATGGACTGGGATGAGAAGCGCGGAGGAGCTCTTTCGTATGGCGGTGGATAGAATCACCATGACCAGAGTGATCGCCAACGTCCGGAGGACGACCGGGCAGGGCACGTGAAAAAGAGATATATTTTATATTTTTCTATTTTCTATTTTCTATTTTATATTTTTTATGAGTTATAATTTCTTTTTCCTAATTTAGTTTTAATTTCTCTTTCCTAATTTTACAGCGTTTTGCTGGAGCCTCGTGCGGTTCGTATACTAGAAAGACGATACGCATTGACGACCACGGAATTCAAATTCCTCGAAATCGGCATCAGAGTGGATCCGTCGAGTTACGTGGAGATCGCCATAGGAGATCATCGAGGAAAACAGCTAGTACTATCTCTCGAAACGTGAAAAGGACTTTACGAGCAACGTCACGCTATTCAAAATTATCTGAACAATGACTCTCCCAACAACAATGTGTATAATTTCATAAGTGTCGGGCCACTAACAGTACGATTTCACAAGATAAACGACACCAAGCTCATAAGTCTCGAATCAGCGGACGTGCGCATGATGATGATCAAATCAACGTTACGTCGTATGTTCGAGCTCGATTCATGCATCGAAATAATGTTCGATCGATTGACGAGGCTCATCGCAACGGTCGATATCAAATATACGCAATTCTCCAATATTGCATCCACTGTAACGAATGCGAGAGAATTGCCGAATGCGATACGCGCTAGCAACGCCTTCAACATGCACCAACTTGTCGATTGCGAGCTGGTGGCTTTATTTTTTAATATGTAATAAAACTTTATATATAATTATGTATTAAATATAAGACAAATAAATACTTTTATGTATATCATGGTGTACTTTATTTGCGCGCCACCCGTTACATACTTTGCGAGAGAGCAACCACTAGAAAAGAAAGAGACAGCGCGCGAGAGAGAAGTCGGATGTGGCGGCTCGGGCCTGCGGCGAGAGAGAGAGATTCGGCGGCTCAGGATTCAGCGGTGCGGCGAGAGAGATTCGGCTCGGGCCTGCGGCAAGAGAGAGACGGCGAATTAAGACGCGAGAGAGAGAGATGCGAAGGAGGGAAACATTTTTTTTTTAAATTAATAAATATTTTTGTTGAATAAATATATATTTTATTCATTAATTTTTATACTTATTTTTTTATACACTTATTTTTTTTTTATACATTACCGCTTATTTTTCTATAAGGATATCGAAGGAGGGAAACATTTTTTTTAAATAATAAATATTTTTGTATAATAAATATATTTTATTCATAATTTTTACATTACCGCTGGCATTGGCGTTACCCAAGGTGTACCACGTGAAGGTTGCCGGTCGGATTTACACCTCATGTGTATGTGTATGTGCGTGTGTGTGCGTGCGTGTACTTGTGCATGTGTTACAGTAGAGATAAGGACCCCACGGTTCGTCACTTCCGTGGTATTTATTGACTCCAAACCCTCTCTACTGTGTGTGTAAATATAAAAAATAAAAAATAATATATGTAAAATAAAAATTAAAAAATATAAAAATATAAAAATAAGGATATAAATAAAAAATAAAAAATAAAATAATTTACATCATAGACGATTGGGGTGGCAACGGTGATTGCGACGTTGATTGCGGCGGTGATTGCGGCGGTGACGGCGGCGGTGACGGCGGCGGTGACGGCGGCGGTGTGGCGGCGGTGTAGGCTGAGGCCTAACATCGTACGGGTCTGGTGCGAACAGCTGCACCAGACAATAACTGTACAAATCGTCGCCTGTAACACCTCTTAAATATGCTTCCCAATCAAACATATGAATGTCATCATTTTGTATTGGCACGTATGGTTCATCTGTAAACATAACAATTATTAATTTAAAAATATAATACAATATTAGAAATTTTATTCTTACCGTCCCATTCGTCATCCCCTATCCATTTTTCGAAGTCATCATCCGAATAACAACATAACAATTATTAATTTAAAAATATAATACAATATTAGAAATTTTATTCTTACCGTCCCATTCGTCATCCCCTATCCATTCTTCGAAGTCATCATCCGAATAATTCTCCCATTCTGCATCCCTTAATGTATCGTACACAAGGTCCTTGATCACCCAACAACAACAAATAATACACAGGGCAAACTACAAAAAAATATTAATATTAATATATTTTTCCCCCACTATTTATTAATATTTTTTTCACTTAAAAAGCACTACCATTTTTGTTGCAATGTCCCGACACTTCGTTGATGACCGTTTGAAACTTTATGATTGCAGAGACAGACCCGCTCTCCACAGGCTGTACCCCACTTAAAAAATCTTCACAAAGAACTATATCTATTTCAAAAAACATTCCAAGTGTCGAATGTTTACATCTCGCGTTCGAGAGAGCCCGCGGGTCGCATCCATGCAAGAGACACGTGGAAAGGCGCGCGCTCTCCCATGCATTTGCGAGAGAGAGAGAGAGAGAAAGAGAGAGACGGTGAACTAATACGCAGCGCGCGAGAGGCTCACGCGACGAGAGAAGAAAGATGATGCGAGGGGGAGACTATAAAAATTTATTTTTTTTTCAAAAAAAATATATTATAATTTTTTAAGAAATATATTAAAAATTTTTACAAGAAATATATATTTTTTTCAAAAGAAATATATTAAACATTTATTTTTTTTACTTTGCTAGTGGGGTATCGCAAGGGATGGGAAAACGACAAGGCTTAATTGTACAATTTTTTAGGTAAAAATATAGTTTATTATAAATGTGTGTGTGTATATTTACAAAATTTGTATGTGTGTGTGTGTGTGTGTGTGTGTGTGTGTGTGTGTGTGTGCGTGAACGTGTAATTATTATAATATAAAATTTATAAAATTATAAAAAAATACAAATATAAAAAAAATATATGAAATAAAAATTATATAAAATAAACATATAAATGATATATAAAATTATGCAAGATATATAAAAATATATATAAAAAAGGCCGTCGGAGGCGAGAGAGGTACGGCGGCTTGGGATTCACGCCTGGATTCAGCGGCGAGAGAAAGCCGGCGGCTCGAGGTAGCGGCGAGAGAGAGAGAGAGCCAGCGGGCCTGCTGCGACTGCGAGAGAGGGGGTCGTGTTAACCATCGCTGTTAGACTGTGCCTCGGCATCTGCACATAGAAATATAATAAATTATTATACTATTTATATATACTAGCTTTTCGGACCGCGCTTCGCGCGGTCCTCACAGCCTTTCTATTCGAACCGCGCTTCGCGCGGTCCTCATATAGCCTATATTAAATCCGTTTTAACACAACAAATTAATTCTTTTTTTGTATTACCGCGAACTACTTCCACATTTGTTGTCTGTCAAAATGTTGTGTATAAAATATCTGGGAGAAAGAAATAGATAACATAGTAGTCATCCACAAAAAAATTTAAACATTTATTTTGGTTAATATATACTTTAAATATTTTTTTTATTACTTAATTATTATATCCTTTTTTACATTTTACTCAATTTTTTTTTATTTCTAATGTACCCACCGCTAACACGCTATTATTAGCTCTCATACAATATCATAATTCTTCAATTTACAAAATTTCCCTGTATATTACATTTTTTGTAAAACATTTTTTACTTTCTTCAATTAAATGTCCTTGATTGCTACATTCATCAATTTTAATTTTTACACTTTCTCTTTTTGTTGCTTTAGAAAATGCCACATAAAGTTGACCATGAGCAAATACAGGATGTGGCAAATAAATTCCAATTTTTTCTAAACTTTGTCCTTGTGATTTATTTATTGTCATAGCAAATGACACTCGAATAGAAAACTGTCTTTGTTTAAACTTAAATGGCAGTTCCAAATCATTTGTAATTAAATCTATCCTCGGAATCATGACAATTTGTCCTCGAGCAGGACCTGTTATAACTTCTACATAAATTATATTATTTTTCAAATTAGTTACAATAAATCTTGTACCATTACAAAGTCCTTTTTTAGTATTTAAATTTCTTAATAAGATTATTGTAGCACCAACTTTTATTTTAAGCCGATGAACTGGCATTCCAGAAGGTGTCAGTGAGTTTAGAAACTCAGTTGGAAAATTTAATTGCTCCTGTGGATCATCACTTACAATACAGTCAATAGAGAGATACTCCTTTTCTTCTCCTTCCATTAGACAAAGAATTTCATCATTAATTTTGAAAGTATTTTCATTTTTAGGACAAAGAATCGCTCGATCTTGATTTTCTCTAATTCTTTTCATGGTAATTCTATCACCAAAAATCTCATTAATAAGAGATTCTTTTGATATAAAATCTTGTGGAATTTTAATCGTGTCTAGATTTAGTCCATCTGTATTTGATAATTTACCATCTCCGAGTTGCATTAACCAATTTGCAAATTCTTTTTCTTCCCCAGTTCTCATATTTTGCTGTAATTTAACCTTAATTACATTCCTCCATATAGGGTTGTATTTTACAGTCGATTCAATTATCGCTGTTTTGTGTACATGAGGTACTACTGGAAGATTTTGTCTGAAATCTCCTGCAAATAAAATTACTTTTCCTCCAAATGGTTGATGATTCTTCATTAAATCCTTGAA